ACACACAAGTTTAAGTAGTTGCATCACACAGGTTCAGTAGTTGTGGTTCCCACTCTCTAGAGCACAGGCTTAATAGTTGTGGCACACAGGCTTATGCATGTGGGATCTTGCTGGACCAGGGATCAAACTGTGTCTCCTGCATTGGCAAGTGGATTCTTTACCACCAAGCCACCAGGGAAACCCAAGACAGATTCTGATAGTGTGATATATGTGATTTTTGCATCTTTCACTTGGAGAAGTAAGTCTTGACTCAGCAGAAAGTTGATAAAAGTGGATTACGGTTTCTTTGGATCTCAGCTGCTTTCTTTGCAGGCTTGGGGCTCTGTAACAGCTTTTAATGATATTTGTGGCAGTCCCTGGAAAAATCTAAATGAACATTTTGGTCAACTCACTAGCAATCTGCCTGTGTCTTCTATAGTTGTGTCACGTTAATTTCTAACCTGTGATTGATAATATTGCTAGATATATTGTAGTATAAGCTATGCTGTGTTCTGTGTCCTATGCAGAGATCAGGTGGTCTCTCTTGGTTCCCTGTTTTCTAAATCTCCTTTTAATGAGAAATGGTTAATAGAGGAGACTACCCTGGTGGTCCAGCGGCTTAGAAACTACGCTCCCAATGCAGGGGGCCTAGGTTAAATCCCTGGTCAGGTAACTAGATCCCACATGCCACAACTAAGACCCAGTGCAGACAAATGAATAAAAATAAATATTTAAAGAAAAAAAAGAAATAGTTACTAGAGCTTAGACATTCACATTGATGCATACTCTTCTTGAGCCCTCGTCCACAACCTTTTCTATTCCATCAAGTGATAAATTCCAGAGATTGTTATCTCTAGAATTATATGGAAATGTCTAAGATGATCCAATAAAATGGTACATTAGAAGATAGTTTCACTCTTTGTCACATCTAACATACTCTATAGCTATTTTGTCTTTCTTTAGGAGTTTTACCCCTGTTTGAGGAATTTGTTCTGCAGTTTGATTTGTATATGTTTAAGTTCCTTTAGGAAACTGAAGTAGAGAGAGTCCATCCTAGGAAGGTGTCAAGATAGTTGCTGGAAATGATTGGCTGTAGGAAGCATTAGATAGCTTGGAAGGAGCTTGGCTGTCTGGTGTGCCTTAGGGTAGTTTGGAGATGTGCAGTACAGAACCATTGCTCTGTGATCTTTGGCAGGACCTAGAAATACAATTTGCTTCCAGTTTGGTGGAAGTCAAATTGCAGTTCATTCAGGTCACATTTGCAAATAGTAGGCATGAGCCTATTAATCTCTGAAGCCCCATTGAGGTAGAATTAATTGTATGGTTTTGTTTGCCCCTTTAAAGTACAAGAATTTTCATTAGGAGAAACTTGTTAGACTTACTCTTTGTGGGATAAATATCTGGCTAGGTTACTACTTATAACATTCTTCCTTCTCTGTTATGACTAATTTAGTATACAGAGCTGTGAATATGCTTGAGGTATGTTCTGGAGAAATTTTTGTGAAGCCAAAAACATTTGTGAGACTCTCCTAGGGCTTACAGATCACTGCCATTTCCCTTTCATGACCACCCCCAGCTCTTGTTTCCTCAAAGTACAAAAAAGTGGTTACTCTCACAGGCCACTGAGTTAAAATATCTCTGGTTTTACTACTCTTGATAGAGTGTGTATATGGTAAATAATATGTGTGTGTGCTACTGTTCTCATATGTTGTACCTGTGGTGGAGTTTTAATAAAGCATTAAGATAGTAATTGAAGTAGATTTATTTGGCAAAAACAACTATGTTCAGCAACATGGAACTGAATTTTATTCTTCATACAAAGTTAAAAGCACATTGTAGTTCCATCTTGACCACTTGCCCAGTCCCCATCTCTTCGAGAGAGAAGCTTCATCTAAATTATTTCATCTGATTGATGATTGTCATTTATAATTTATTGCTACTTCTGTCTCATGTATTCATTTGGAAAAGGTGTATGGATTCATTACATATTCTAATGTATCATCTATATATTATAAGATAAAGTCAAGCATGTATCTGCTGATACTTTTTAAGTTGACCTGTCTTTATACTTAGAGATGTCTCTGTAGGCTTCCCTGGTGTCTCAGATGGTGAAGAATCTGCCTGCAATGCAGAAGACCCATGTTCAATTCCTGGGTTGGGAAGATCCCCTGGAGAAGGAAATGACAACCCACCCCAGTGTTCTTGCCTGGAAGAAGCCCATGGATTGCAGAGAGTTGGACACAACTGAGCGACTATCACTCACATTCACCTATGGCAGAATAAGTCTTTACTGATGGAACAGAATGTTACAAGTGACCACCATCAATTAAAAAAAAAAATTGACATGAGAGTTGAAAACCCACTTCCTTGGTGTAGTGATAGGTTATAATCATGGCTCTCCTGTGTATTTGTAGGGTCTTCCCAGGTGGCTCAGTGGTAAAGAATCCACCTGCTAATGCAGGAGATGCAGGTTCAATCCGTAGGTCAGGAAGATTCCCTGAAGGAGGAAATGGCAACCCACTCCAGTATTCTTGCCTGGAAAATTCCTTGGACAGAGGAGCCTGGTGGGCTATGGTCCATGGGGTTGCAGAGTCACACACGACTGAGCATGCACACACGCGCCTGTCTATTATATGACTTTAGACAGGTATATTTAGCCTTTCTAAGTCTCAATTACTTCATTCATAGGCTGGAGATAGTATGGAATTCATAGGAATGTTTTGAGAGTTAAATGAAGTGTTGTTTCTATGGTTTGTAGCCCACAGTTTTGATATTTAATCTCACTCAAATATTTGTTATTCATCTTTCTCCTATTTCCCCTGCTCCTTTATCCCTGGTACACACCATGTTACTTTGCTTCTTATTGAAGTGCACTCCCCCCCCCCCAACTGTTTTCAAATTTGTGTGGTGAATATATCACTTGAAAAAACCATTTATCTGAGAAGAGGCTCTCCTGAGTAGTGTGTATCAAATGTACCTAAGAGATCATGTTTTTCAGAGTAGTGTGAAAAGTCAAAACCATTTAAGCTCCTCTCTCCTACCACCTGTTGTTATTGGTGCCCTCGAATAAAACAATTTTTTTTGTTTTCTTCTTTTAAGTATTATTTAAGTATTGTTTTAAGCATAACATTCCTAAAGAAAGCCTACATTTTCTCTGCTTTGCCCAAAGAAGAATGGAATGTAGTAGATAAGTTCTGAAGGAGATTGGAAAAATGTGGTTAACTCCTTGTTGTTCAGTTGCTTAGTTGTGTATGACTCTTTGCAACCCCATGGACTGCACAGCATACCAGGCTTCCCTGTCCTTCACTGTCTCCTGGAGTTTGCTCAGATTCACGTCCATTGAGTTGATGATGCCGTCCAGCCATCTCATCCTCTGTCACCCCCGTCTCCTCCTGCCCTCAGTATTTGCCAGCATCAGGGTCTTTTCCAAGGAGTCGGTTCTTCGCATAAAATGGCCAAAATATTGGAGCTTCAGCATCAGTCCTTCCAGTGAATATTCAGGGTTGATTTCCTTGCCAGTTTGCTCTCTTTGCTGTCCAAGGGACTCTAAAGAGTCTTCTCTGCACCACAGTCTGAAAGCATCAATTCTTTAGCACTCAACCTTCCGTATGGTCCAACTTTCACATCCCTACATGACTACTGGAAAAACCATAGCATTAAGTATACGGACCTTTGTCAGCAAAGTGATGTCTCTGCTTTTGAATACACTGTCTAGATTTGTCATAGCTTTTCTTCCAAGGAACAAGTGTCTTTTAATTTTGTGGCAACAGTAATCATCCCCAGTGATTTTGGAGCCCCAAAAGATAAAGTCTGTCACTGTTGCCATTTTTCCCCATCTGTTTGCCATGAAGTGATGGGACCAGATGCCATGATCTTAGTTTTTTGAATGTTGAGTTTTAAGCCAGCTGTTTCACTCTTTTCTTTCACCTTCATTAAGAGGCTCTTTAGTTCCTCTTTGCTTTCTGCCTTTGGGGTAGTGTCATCTCCATATCTGAGGTTATTGATATTTTTCCCAGCAATCTTGATTACAGCTTGCGATTTTTCCAGCCCAGCATTTCACATGATGTATGTACTCTGCATATAGTTAAATAAGCAGAGTGACAGTATACAGCCTTGACATACTTCTTTCCCAGTTTTGAACTAGTCCATTGTTCCATGTCCGGTTCTACCTGTTGTTCTTGACCTGCATACAGGTTTCTCAGGAGGCAGGTATTCCGTCTCTTCAAGAATTTCCCATTCGATTCCTTTATTTAATTATATATTCCCTAGGTTACTTACTTGCCTATTTCTATTATGAAAGTTTAGAACACTAATTCTTAAACTATATGGAGTGCCTAATAACCACCAGGAAAACATGATAAAATGTAGATTTCTTGGCTCCTCACCAAGAAATTCCAGTTCATTATTTTGAAATGGGCTTGGGAGGATTTATTTTAAACATGAATCTAAAGTAATTCTGATACAGGGTCTAAAATGATACTTAGCAAAACATGGATATAAAGTAAAAGGAAGATGACAAAGTTAAAGTTATTGAGTGACATATTGATCTACATTGCCCTTTATAGTGATACTTCTCCAAACCATCTGTGATGAAGGACCAACTTTTTGTTTGGTTTTCTAATATAGATAGCATAGACCCATACTTTTGTAAATATAATCAGGTGAATTACTGGAAAAGAGATATCCAAATTCAAGCCCAGGATTTTTTATTGTTAGATTCAACAGGCATAAAGTTACTCTGTCAAATTAAAATAAAAATTTCTAAATGTTTACTCTGAATTTCTATGCTTATCTTGTTGCAGAGTGGTAATAAACAGTTCATGGACCAGCACCAGTCTGTGGACCACAGTTTGAGTAGCATTGCTCTTCAGAAAGTGAAGATGAGTTTGTGTTGAAACTGGCAAGTTAGAAACCTAGTCTCTTCTACAAATCCCAGGAAGCCTGATTTCTTCATGTATAAAATTGAGACAGTTTTACTACTCTGCCTGTCTTACAGAGATGTTGTCCTCATATGAAACGTAATGTGTGTAAGAGTACATTGCATACTAAAAAAACTAATGTAAGTTATATTAATCATCAGAAGCATTTATTAAACATATTATTATTGTATAGGGACTTTGTTGGCAACTAGGGAAATCAAGATATGGTAAGGAGCTTACTGTTCAGTTATATCTTTGCCCCATAAGGATGGCAGTATCCTGAGCTGATTAAATTCCAACTTCATAAACATTTTCCTAGACTTGTGCAGGCTTTTTCTGAACTCCAGTAGCTTTTTTGTATTTTTCAAACATGTAACTTTGGAATGTTTCTTTGTAATACCTGAAATAAGAATTTTTGAAAGTATAACATATTTCTCTAATAGATTGAAAACATTTTGGTGGCAGGCCCTCTTTTGAGTTGAAGTTTCTTGTCCTCTTCTTGTATCTATCCTTTGCTGTTAATCCTGGAACAGATTACCCCTTCTCCTGACTGGCTCCCAGTTTCAGACTTGCTGCTCAACACCATACTCTTTCTCTCCTCTGACTACCTTCTCTTCTGAGTATTTACAGGAGATAGAGTTCCTTGAAACGAGACATTTTTGACTGCGTTTTATGAACAGATTAGGTGCAAGAGATAAGAAAATGAGTAATACCTAAAGTTCCGGACCCCTGGGAGCTCACAGTTTTTAAAGGGAAAAGGACAGTAATTCAGTAATGAGACAGGTGCTGACTTGTTCAGAAATGGTTGGAGAACACAGGGGGAGAAAAAACTGCCTAGGGGAACAGGGAAGTTTTCATATATAGGACAACCATCTAATTTACCCTCCAAAATGACACTATTAAAGGTGAAAGGATCATTGTTACCATCAGGAGGGCACACCAGGTATAAATTGGGACTGTCCCATGCAACCAAGATATATTGTCACCCTATCAATAAAAGAAATATCTGTGTAGTCTTTTTTTTTTTTTTTTTACTGTGTAGTCTTAAATTAAGTGTTGGAGGATTTACTAGGGAAAGAAAGTAGCATACAGAAGAACTTGGAAGAATGAAAGAATATGTAGTTGTGCCTAGCTCATGAAATACTTAGCAGAAGATAAAGTTGCAAAGGTATATTGGGACAAGATGATGTAGGGACCTGTGTGCTAGTGTTGTCGATAATGGGGAGTCTTTGATTTTAAAGATGGGATAATGAGATTAGATTCCTTTTTTTTTTCCTAAAGATCACTTTACTGGCTATATGGAAAATGAAAGGTGGGGGTGAGGGACTTAGGTACTGAGGCCATAAGATCTTTTAAAATATTTGCTATAGATTAGGAGAGAAAAGATGATACTCTGAACTAAGGGATGGCAGGAAAGTTGGAAAGAGAGAGACTCCAGAGATATTTAAATCTTTTAGAGAGACTTAGATTTGTAGGGGAAAAGGCACGTGGCTTCTAGGACACCATGTTCTCCTGGTTTTCTTCCTACCTCACAGACCACTCTTCAATCTTAGTTGCTAGATACTCTGTTCAATTTATAAATGTTGGATACCCCCAGAGCTCAGCCCTGATACCTCCTCTCTGTTTGCATTCACCTCTTCTTCTCTCTTTTTTTTTTGTTTGTTTATTCATTTGGCTGCCCTGGGTTTTAGCTGTGTCATGTGGAATCTAGTTCCTTGATCAGGAATTGAACCCCCCCGCCTTGCACTGGGACCGTGGAGTTTTTTAACCACTGGGCCACCAGGGAAGTCCCTGCATTCACTTCTTAAATGATTTTGTCTACCCCCTGACTTTAAATTCTGTCTGTATGTTTATCACTCCTGAATTTGTATCTTCAGCCAAACCTCTCCTCTTAACTCTAGACTTGTATCTAATAGGCATTTCAGACTTAATATGTTAGAACTACATTTTTCGTTTTCCTCCAAACATACTGTTATTCATCATTTTCATAAAAAGCTTCATCATTCACTGTGGAGATAACAGTGTTGGAGTAATGCTTGACTACTACTTTTTCTCATCCTCGTCCGGTACACCAACATTTCTGTTGGCTCTTTTTTCAAGATAGATCCTTGGTTTGACCCCTGGCTACCTCTCCTACCTCATTTCCTGCCACTCTCCTTCTTGGATATGGCACTTTATCTTTACCGTTTTACTGTTTTTGCCGTATGCTAAGCACCATTCTGTCTCAGGCAGCATTCTTGCTTTTTTCCCTACCTGTTATATTCTCTTCCAGATACATGCAGAGCTCACTTCTCCACTTAACTTAGGATTTAGCTCAAATGTTATCTTTTTAGATAGGACTTTCCCAATTTTGCTTTTAAGAATAGTCTCTTCCTCCCATCTGACACTCCATCCCCTTTTCATGCTCAACTTTTTTCAGGGATCTTATCTATGCTTTACCTATTCATGTTGTTAATTTGTTCATTGTTTCTTTTCCCCGCTGGATTGAAGTCCATGAGGATAGAGGCTTTGTTCAGTGTTGTATCCTCAATGCCTAGAAAAATACTAATAATAAATGTTAGGCATTTCATAAATATTGTATTTCATGGACTCTAAGATGCTGTTTATATTTGGTTTTAAATTCAAGTGTAGATGATAATTACATTCTTGTGATTCTGGTATACAGCAGAGTGATTCAGTTATACATAAAAATGTTTTTTTTCATATTCTGTTCAATTATACTTTATTATAGGATACTGACTGTAATTCCCTGTGCTATACAGTAGTACCTTGTTTATCTGTTTTATATGTCATAGTTTGTATCTGCTAATCCCAAGCTCCTACTCTGTCCCTCCGCTACCCCCTTTCCCTTTGTTAACCATGTTTGTTTTCTATGTCTGTGAGCCTGTTTCTGTTTTGTAAATAAGTTCACTTGTGTCATACATTAGAATCTACATATAAGTGATATCATATGGTATTTATGTTTTTCTGTCTGACTTAGTACAAGAATCTCTAGGTCCATACACGTTGCTGCAAATGTGAAGATGACATTTATTTTAAGATGTATCAGTAATTTATAAACCAATAAGAAAGAAGAAATACTGTCACTTGTTAAATGCTGTTGGTTATAAGATACACACTGATACCAAAGGTTAAAAGAGAGAAAAAAATATGTATATTAGAATCTATGAAAAAATTACTTGTTTGGATGAGTGAAGTAGGAAGGAGTCACATCAGATGACTTCAGTTTCTAACTTAATTAAAAAAATTTTTTAAATAGATAAAAGTATCTGTTATAAATACAGAATACAATAGAAATAATAAGGTTGATAGAGGAAAGGATTCCTCCTCACGTAACTTGTGTAACTTGTGTGGCAGAAGCAAGAAGAATCTTGCAAGAATGGGGAAGAAACCAGCTATATAGTCTGAAACCTAGAGTCTATCCTTGAAGTCATCCACATTTTAACACTCTTATTATGAGGTCACTTTTTCTGTGAGGGTAAACACATCTCCAGATTTCTCAATTACTGTATGATCCTTGAATTAATCCTTGAATTGCTTGTATTTCTTACTACTGTGTACATACTAGATGCTTCAGAATAGTTTGATTTGAAGAGAATCTTCACTTGATCCCTTCATTGAGATGGAGGTTTTCATTTCCTCAACTTTTTTTCTGTGTTGTTGGATTGTCTCATTTGGAGATATTTAACGTATTATCTGGGCTTCTCTGATGGCTCAGACGGTGAAGAATCCACCTGCAGTGTGGGCTGTCTGAGTTCGATCCCTGGGTTGGGAAGATCCCCTGGAGGAGAGCATGGCAACCCACTCCAATATTCTTGCCTGGAGAATCCCCATGGACAGAGGAGGCTAGCAGGCTACAGTCCATGGGTCGCAAAGAGTTGGACACGACTGAGTGATTCAGCACAGCAGCACATTATCTGCAGGTGAACAGGTCTTAGTAGAGCTGTGGCTGATGTCTCCCAGTGGTAGAAAGTAAACCAGGGTTTGCCCTCTTTTAAAATGTAAGAACAGATGATAGTTTCTGCACTTTCTGTTTATAATTTTCATAAGGATTTGTTTACTAGGACTGCCCCATTCTGAACACCATAGCATTCTGTAGTCTGAGTTTTCCCTATGTCGCTCTTTTCTTCCTCTTTACCACTCCACTTTTGATCCTGAATTCAGAGATGAATATAGTAGATTTGATGGCTAATCTTTATATATTTTATTAATATGCAGCTAGTTTTATTAAGTGCATACAGTTGAAAAGGGAATCTTTGTTCTATGAAAGAACACAAAGGCAAGACAAGGTAGCAAAGAACCTGAATGAACATTTTGGCCCACCTGATACTGAAGATTGCAGTGTTAGAATAATGCCCCATCTCCCAAGGTGTCCACATCCTCATCCCCAGAATGATTGAATATGTTCAGTTTCTTGGCAAAGGGGAGTTAAGACAGCAGATGGAATTAAGGTTGTTAATAAGCTCACCTTAAAATATGAATATTATTCTGGATTATGCAGGTGGGCCCAGTGTAATCACCAAGGTTCTTAAAAATGGAAAATTTTAGGCAGAAGAAAGTCAGAAATATGGCAACATGAGGAGTGGGCCCAACATTGATGGCTTTGAAGATGGAGAAGTGGCCGTGAGCTAAGAAAAGCAGGTGGTCAACTAGAAAAGGCAAGAAAATAAATAGATACTGCTCTAGAAATTCCAGGAGGAATGTAAAAAGCCCTGCTGATGACCTGAATTTGGTCCAGTGAGACCCATTTTAGACTTTTCACTTCCAGACTGTAGGATAATAAATTTGTACCGTTCAGGGACTTCCTGGTGATCCAGTGATTGAGAATCCACCTTGCTATGCAGGGGATGCAGGTTCCATCCCTGGTCCGGTAACTAAGATCCCACATGTCACGGAGCAGCTGAGCCCATGCACCATAACTGTTGAGCCTGCATGCCGTAACTCGAGTCTGTATACCAGGATGAAGGGTCCGGTGTGAGACAGCGAAGATCCCGTGTACCGCAACCAAGACCCGACACGGCCAAACAAATAAATATTTTAAAAAATTAATTTGTGATGTTTAAATCACTTAGTTTGTGGTAATTTGCTGTAACAGCCATAGAAAACTAATATAGTTGCTTCTCCAAACAAGGGCAATTTT